TGCAGAGAATCTGCTTCATATTGAAGAACTGCTGTTACAGCCCCCAATACCAGGAACATTCTGTTTCTCCCACCCAAACCACAGCCTGACCCCAGCCATGATCTCCGCCTGGCCTACTCATCAGACAGTGCCACTGACGGCAGCCCTATTCTAACAGGAAGTAGAAACAGCCAACAGGCCTATCCAATGACAAAACAGCCCAGCACACTATGGTCTGTTTCGATGGGAACATTGGGTAGGGGGAAGTAGGCTAGCGAGAGAGCTCAGCAGTTAAGAGCCCTTGTTGTTCTTGCAAAGGACCTGGGTTTGGTTCCCAGCACCCACACTGAGCAGCTCACAGCCTCTGTAACTTCAGTTCCCAGAGAAGTGACACCCTCTTCTGTCCTCCATGGGGACTGCACACATACGGTGCACATATACAGGGCAGACACTCACACATAAAAACAAACACAAGTATTTTGGGTTTTGTTTTTATTTTTAAGAGTGAGGAACTGGAGAGGTGACTCACCAGTTAATTACATGCGTTGTTCTTGAAGAAAAACCTAGGTTCGGCTCACAGCACCCACATGGAGGTTCACAATCACCCATAACCCCTCCACAGGCACACACATGCACATATGTATACATACAGTAAAACAACCATACACATAAAATAAAGCTTTAAAAAAAAAAAAAAAGACTGGGGACACTCTGACCTTGCCCCTGCCTGAGTAACCATGAAAACAGACTCCAAACGCCACACAGTATGTGACTGTAGGTACAAAATATTTAGAACATAGAACAGGCCAGGGTGACAAGGGGATGGGGATTCTTGCTTCCTAGACATGAACTGCCTTATGCGGAATTAAAAACATTTTGAAACTAGCACAAGTCTGTAGTTGCACAATGTTGTGAATGAAGAAAATGCTACCAAACTGCACTTTAAGAGAATCATGTTACCCAGGTGAGGTAGCAACATGCCTGTAATTCCAGCACCGGGAAGGCAGAGGCAGGAAGATCAAGAGTTAGAAGTCATTTTCAACTATATAGTGAGTTAAAGACCAGCCTATGCCACATAAGACTCTGCGGGGGGGGGGGGGGGGGGGGGGGGGGGCCATTTTATGTTGTGTGAATTTTATCTCAACACTTAAGTTAAAGAGAAGGCAGTGTGGTGGGTCTGGCCTGGGACAGTGGTCCAGGATTGGAGGTTGGCTCTGCTCCAAGGAGCAGTCTTCTAAGGGAAAAGCAAGTTCCCCCCACAGGCCCTGAGGATCTGCCACAGAGGTGGCCTTCTGTGAGTCCTGGCTGCAGAAACAAGTCACCCCAAACTACAGGGCATAAAAGAACAGGAGTTTACCACCTTATGGGTCAGGAGGCCACAATCCAAAACAGGTCTCCCAGGAGCATCCCTGTGCCCCAGGCCAGACCCTGCATCATCCCAATCTCTACCATCATTCTTGAGTCTGAACATTGCCTCCCTGGATCCCTCTTATCACAAACATTCATTACACCTGCAAAAGCCTCACCTGTAGGGACCTATTTCCCTGCCATATCTACAAAGTGTGTGCCCAGAGATTAGGAGGATACTGGATGTTGAGTTGAGGGCACCATTCAGCCTGTGGGTGTCACTGTGTACCAGGGCCTTCACACCATACAGGCTCAAAGCAATCCCAAGGGTGATGACACTAGCAGTAAGCACATCCTCACCTAACATCACCTAGCTCGTGGGAGCATCCTTCCCTAGCCTTGGCCTTGACCTACAGACAGTTTTGCCCTTTAACAGGTCCTTCCTCCTAGCCATTCTGACCTCAGATTAGAACATCTCCCAAGCTTCAGGTGGGTTCTGGTTTGGACAAAGACTCTTCCATTCGACACTCCTGGGATGCTTCGCCCTTCTTCCTCCTCTACCTCTGTGTCTGATACCCCTACAAAATAGTGTTAGCGTCAGATTAAGTCTCTAATCCGTTGCCTATGAGATGTATAATTGAAGCTTTTACAGAAAATCAGCTCATTATACAAAGTGCAAGGGTTGTGAAAAGGATTCTTTTTTAAACAGCATGCTAGGCTCCCGTCCAGCCATTAGGAATCCAGAGAGAGTCCTGAGGTAGAGGACTCAGTGTGTGGGATTTCAAACAGGAAAGTGTTTGGCTAAACAAACCCTTCTGCTAATTACTAACACCAGGAAGCTCTTTCAGACAAAGAGATGGGCAGTTATCTTGGGAGGTACTGGTGGGGCCCTCAGAAAATCCAGATCTCCATGACAATCTCAACCCATGTGGAAGGAGAGAGCAGTCAGACTCAGCATGCTCCGCAGCGTCCTGGTCACCTGGGCTTACACAGGGGCAGGGCACAGAAAATGACAGACATCATTTTCTCTAGAATGACCCAGCGCTGGTCAGAGCAAGAAGGAGAGGCAAAAGCATTGAGAAGGCAGAACAGCATCTAGCTGTGAGGATGAGAAGTTGAGAGGGAGGGCTAGGGTTGCTCAAAGCACCACCCTCCATCATTGAGGAGGCTCCTGCCCCATTAAAAACAAATCATTTATTTAGGGGGAGGGATGGGTATATCATGGTACACACATGGAAGTCAAAGGCCACCTTCTCTCCTTCCATTATGAGGGTCCTGGAATTGAACTCAGGTCCTTGAGCTTCGTGGCAAGTGCTTTTACCCACTGAGCCACCTTGCAGGCCCTCCTCCCTCATTTTTGATCTCCCACCTGTCCCCAGCACCTCTTCATGCTCTGTTCATAAAAGGGTGATTTCAGTATACTTAGTAGCACAAAGTTATGCTCCAAAACAAGGCTTGGCTCCTGCAAGATGACTTCTCACCTGTCAACCTTTGTCTGGGAAAGTCCCCTGGCAGACCCTGGGCAGCCCTCCAGGCCTGGGCTTAGGGTGGGGCTTTGTGGGTCACACATCAGTTCAGAGGACCAAGACTAAGCGACTGAGGTACCCCATGACTGACTGCCACCACATACCCATCGGCATGGAAAGTTCCCTACTGGCAGTGCTCTGGCCTACTGTCCAAGTGAACAGCTGGCAAATGGAACACCATGTGTGGGCCTCTGCTAGGAGACGAGCCACCAGTCACTGTCTTCTAGACTCTGGCCAACTTCCCATACGCCTTCTTCCCTCATCTGCTAACTTGGTTCCTTCAGTGTAACAGACTGTGGCTATGAACTCAAACTCTTCTGTGTCCTCTGAGGCCATTGGTCAACCATGAAGGTAAAGAGATGCTTCTAGGCTAACCATGAAGGACACAGCCAGGATGGACAATCTTAACTTCTCTGTTAGCTACCACCAGGGTGCCATGGCCCAGTGCAAAGCCCCAGGAAAAAGCCATCCAACACTGTCCATGGGACAGCTCAGCCCTCAAGGGTAGGGAACGGCAAGTGGGTCACACACAGGCAGCCTCGGCCCCCAGACTGTCACCAAACCACACTGACGGCAGGCCACAGCAGCTGCTCTCCCTCCAATCTGGGGATACTATAATGAGAAGGGGAAATGGGACACACTTAGGATTCTGTGCAGGGCAAGCATGATGGCTGGAGTCTGGAAGAGAACGTCACTTTGGTCTGTGAATGCACAATGCAGAGTGTGTCGAGCCAGGTGGGATGCACAGCTGTGATGAGGACCGTCGCGGGAGCAGGCCAGCATGGCAAAGAACTCACAACTGATCAGTTCCCAAAACAAAAAGCCCCAAACCATGTGTTGCTGTGTCCTGAAATGGCACTGTAGGTGGAGCCTCGTAAGGACTTTACAATGGTAACTTAGAGCAGGGCGGGGGTGGGAGCTCGGCAGGCGGGAACTGCTGTGTAAAGCCCCGTGTGCTGAGGGGACACAACTTACTACAACTCTTTGTTTAGTTTTTGCTTAAAGTTTGTTTGTGACAGAGGTCACACAGCCTTGATATAGCCCAGGCTAGCCTCGATGAACCCTAGGCTGGCATTCACTCTTAAACACACTCAGCATCAGGTAAAATTTATACCATCACATCTGTTCTTAGCTATTGGTCATTATAACCCTAAAAGCATTGCAAGCATCCTTTTCTGTTTCATGTTTTGTTTGAAAATATTTTAAAACAGCCTGTCTTCTGGCCAACAAAAAGAAAGGCTTTGATTCACAGGAACTCTGAAGTCCCTGAAGAGCTCATGCAGCAAATGAGTCATGGATATGCAGACATGGCACCTGACCCCTCTCTCTCTGTGAGTGAGCCAGGAGCTACCACCCAGGGATGCTGTGCTCCGACTACACTCGGCTTGTGGCCCTGCAGACAAAGCAGAGCACACCAAGTCAACACTCAGTGGATAGCACCCTCAGGTGTCACTTGTACCCAGGTGCGGCCCACATGCTCAGCTGTTGGAGGGGCCCTTCCTGTCACCCTTGCCACTGGCCTTTATCCTTAGGAGGCCCTCAGACACAGCAGAAAAGAACAGCTCTTACGTGTCTCCCCAGGTGACCTAAAACCTACCTCCTTGGCCTGTGCATCAGAGGTCAAAATCTTCACTGACTAGGTCTCTCCTGGGCCACCCGCCCCTACCCCCCTGCATACCACAGAAGCATCAGCGGCTGCATCATGCTGTCCATGAAGAACCTCGGATTGAGGCAATGACTGGAGCTGGGTTCTCCGGAAGCCCCACTGAAGCCCTAAGGTCTGTGGGCCAGGAACTGCACTACACTCCAGCCCCAGCCCTGTGAACTCATACCGGCTCCAGCGTTCAAACAAGGAGCCTGGTCCAGAGCTGGGGAGGTGCATTCAGGTAGGCAATGATCTGTGCCAGGATTAATTTGCTGAACTCATTACCTAAATCGAAAGAGATTTTGTAGCCATCAATAACATGCTTGCAAGATTTCCCGAGTGAACCTTCTTCCATACAACCTTGGCGGCTGCCAATACTCAGAGTATCCTGTGAAAGCTTCTGGTTCAGACCCACAAGCAGGGGAGTGTCTATACGACCCCAGCACCTGTTGGAGACATTGAGATTAAAAGGCCTGCCCTCCCAGTGTCGCTGTGGAGCTCACCTGATCCCTTTGTTCTGTGCGATGCTGTGCAGGGACAGTCGGGATACCGCGGAGATGACCTGGGGGAGACAAGAGAGTTCTGTAACATCAGACCATCAGGAAGTCACCACAAACGCACCGAGTGTTCTGCAAACATGGAAACTGTTAACTAAGCACACCTTGTAAGAACGGCACGGAGCTCTCCAGGCTCCACACCTGTGCAGTGTTTATTGCGTGAAATCTGTTATTTGGCCACTTTAACATTTGCTATGGGCTGCTGAGCTCGTGGCAGGGGGCCTCGGGGAGGAACGGATTTCCATTCACACGCCTGTGCTTCCCCACTGACCCCAGCCTGGCAAGGAGCCACCCCAAACTGTTTTCTTTAGCAGGGGGAAGAAATGCTTCATCGGGGCTGCTGTGGGTCTGTCTTAACTGAGGTCACGCCTCCAAAGGGTTCATCCAGTGCTGCTGTTCTAGAAGGATCTAAATGACTAACAGCAGCCTGTGTCCACAGTAAGTACTAACCCATCTCAGAGACAGAAAAACGGAGGTCCAGAGGGGTCCACACTGCAGCATCACAAGGACACAAGCATCTACCTGTAATGCTTGCTGCTCCATGTAGTGCCCTGCTCCATGCCCGACATCTCAACACGCACTGGCTCCCAGGATGCCAAAGGCTAAGGAGACCCAGGCTTAGAACCACATGGATCTTTGTAATGTCTTCCCCAGGCTCACAGACTCCTCCAAACACAAGCTTGGAAATCCAGGGCAAGCAGGAGTAGGCATTCCTCAGCCCCAGCAACCTGGTCTAGCCCTAATTAACCAGAAGCTTCCACACGGGTGGGGGCCCCTCTGCCAACCTCAAATGCCTCTAACAGTTTTTCCACAGAGCTTCGTAACGACTCACAGAAAGCAGGCGGCAGGATGGGGGTCCTCCACAGTTCAACATGAAGAAACTAAGGGAGGGGAGAAGGGAATGGCTGACCCAAGAACACTGAGGGTGACATACAAGAGACAGAAGGATGTTGTTTACAGTTAGTCAACAGAATGAGCAGTGGCCTGATGGCGGGCACCAGGCACAAGCCAAAACCTTGAGACTGCTACACGTATGTTAGCAAGTTCATTTGTCGAGTGTATCCTGTGGGTGTACATGAACAGAACTATGTATGTATATTGCTTATACACCTCCATGTGTGCTGCAAGCTCTCATGTGTGCTTTGTGTGCACATGGGGTGAGGAAGAGATACAGGAAAATCATCTTGTAAGCCACTGCTCATTCTACAGACACCAGAGCAAGCCAGGCACTGGCTGTTCTGGGAAACTGGGCTCAGAGAGTGTCACATGCACTGTCCCATTGGATTCCAGGCCTCACTGTCTGTCTCTCTGTGCATGCTGCTAAGCAGGAAAAGAGAAACGCCCTCATTTATACGAAGCCCCCAACAGGAACACACTCCCTGGGGTTCCTTTAGGCTGTTCTGTACTCAGTAGCAATTTTCAAAGGGAAAACACCAAAGCAAAGGCTTTTTTTTAATGCTCAGTGGGCGGTGGGCTCAGTCCACAGCTGTGTGTGTGTCTGGGCCTCCTGTCAGCGTCTATATTTCAAGGGCTGAAACTCAGGAAAGTAATGATGGGGAATAACTGGAGTCCTCTGTGTTTGCTCAGACAAGTCTCAAAGGGCTGATATGCAGCTGGCCCTAGTGGTGGCTCCCACCAGCCTGCTCTACAAGGGGCCTTTCACAAATAACAAGCAAAACGGCTTTTGTTATTATTTTTGGCTTTAAGGGCTCTAAATATTTAGGGGGAATAAAAATTAAGGTAATACTATGTCCTTTTAGGTACTCAACAGAATGCTGGAAATGCAAGCCTTGAAGGGTTTGGCCAGTCTATAGCACACTAGCTGTCCTTCTCCTATGCTTCCTGAGGCAGGCATTGCTCATCAATTGATATACATTTTCCCATGAGCCAACACAGGCACTGAACATTAGCAGAGTCCTAAGATGGCATCAGCCATAAGTTGTCACAGCTCAGAAGCCACAACCTGCCAAGGCCTCATTCCCACAGGTGGAGACCAAGACTCCCAACAGGTAGATAGATACAGGTGTTCCACATCCATGCATCTGTCCGTAGTCCCAGGGAACAGTTATCAGCTCTACACCTGGCCTAAGCCTGGGTACACATAACTTGCTGCAAGAGGAAAGCCTAGCAATGTGTAGAGAACTCAGCTCTAGGGCCACGGCCAGGCAGGCAGGGCAGGCAGTTCCTTTAATGGCTTAAACATGACCAACTATTCTGGGATGCCCTTCCCTCCATCCTAATGTGCTATGTGCCTTCCAAGTGGCACCTGTGAACGGAGGAGAGAGATGACTCCAGTGATCCCAAGCAGGGACCTCCGAGACATACACAGGATCCTGAGTGAGCCATGGCTTAGGTCAGGGCTGGAGGCTTCAGGTGAAGCCTGATGAAGGGTAAGCACAGAACCGGCTCTTGAAGAAGAAAAGCAATTCAACGACCCCAACCCCCACAGTGCTTCTGATGGCAGCCTCCAGCTCTCCGACTAGACAGCCAGGTGTCCCCAGGGCTAACACTCTCAGCTGACCATCAAAAGCCTCCCTGCCAGGGCCCCCTGGGGACTTCTGAGCAGGAAAATGTCAAATGATGACATTTTCCCAACTTTCATTTCCGCCTCCCAGCTGTGTCCCTGATAATAAGTGGAGACACCCCCCACTTCTTCCCTCTCTGCTCAGACAACCAACTCCACTCTCAGTGCTATCACTCACCCACCTCGAAACTCAAGCCTGTTTGTGTGCTGGGGTAGCACAGGACCAGGAGGGCGAGATCAAAGCCCATGAGAACTGCCCTTCTGCAGCAACAACTGCATCACCCACTCCCAACGATGGACTCACTGAGCGTTCCGTGATATCCACCTGGGTCTCACATGCAAACACAGACAGTGGGCACTGAATGGAGTGAGCAACCTAGAGGACAGTGACAGTCAGGGTCTGAGTCATGGATGCAAATCTTGGCTCCACCCTGCCCACAGGTCCAACTGCCCAGACACTAGCAGCTTACCAGCCCACACATATGATGGAAAGCAGACCCCATCCCACCTTGTCCCACAGTGTCTGGGGTCCAGGAACCTACATTTGTTGCCACGGTCCTATGTGGCTGAGATGTGCACCCTTCTTTAGAGAACAGCTGACACTGGTCACATGACAAACTTGGTCAAAGAGAAATGCCCAGAGCACACACCCAGATTGTCCATCTCTGGGCACCTTGCAGAGACAGAGCACCCAAAAGAACACATACAGGAAATCAGTACCTTCCAGCTGGACAGCAAAGCACAATGACCAGGAAGAACCTGAGGAAAGAAGAGGGAGTCTAGAGGCAGATCTAGGTCAATGGGAGAACTATCTCCAGGCATCAACAAGCCTGCTTTTCCCCAACTGCAAAGCGACAAATGACATTTTGTCCTGTGAGGCCTGAGCAACCTAAGCACCAGCAAACCAGACTTCAAGTTTTAGGCTTATAATCTTGCCCAGGCCAAAGTGACAGGCAGGCAGCAGGCAAATGCATTCCCTGAGGACAAAACTACCCCATCTGCCCAGAAATGACAAAAATGTCCCTACTTCAGGCATAGGAACTAGGCACTTGTGTCCCATCACTAGTCTGGGCATTCTGGTCCCAACAGACGCAGACGGCTTTTGCCACAGCAACTCAGTCTGATGAAACAGATGCCACAGAAATGGGGTATACTCACCCTGGTGACTACTGCAGGGCCCTGGCCCTGAAACCAGAGCCCCGTTTTTCTCTGCACAGAACTCATAGCAAATGCCTAAGAGGAAGGAGCCTGGGTGCTATTGGGGTCTGAACACTGGCTGCAAATCTGAGGATGTGTCCTGAGAACATTTTTGGAAGGTAGACGTCACCTCCCAGTACCTTCCCAAAAGGATCAACATACCCCAAAAAAGGGTTAGTAAGAGACATTTTGTGCAGTTGCTTGGACAGCTAGAAAGAGGCAGAGAGGGTGAAACAGGACAGTCAGTGGGGGAGCCTGACCTTGACCCCGGTTCCAAAGGGGCTTTAAAACTTAGGGCTTTTCTCTAAAGATGATTGAGCTTCTCCCTTGTTTGTGCAGTGATCTAGGCCCAGAAGTGTCCCCTGCAGCAGTTTCCAAGTACTAGAGATCTGGCAGTTTCTAATTTTATGACCCAAGGACACCAGGAAACAGAACAGAGTGCATTCCCAGCCAGGGATTCTGGTCCCCTCAGGAAATGATGCTTTAAGGGGGACCACTGAGGCAGAACGTGCTTGGAAACACACTGCATGTGAAAATGACAGCTTCCAAAATGTAGAGCAGACTGGACGACATATACAAGTCAGGGCTGAGGAGATAACTCAGCTGTTAAGAGCACTGCTGCTTTTCCAGATGACCCAGGCTTGGTTCCCAGCACCCACATGGCAGCTTACAAATGTCTGTAACTCTAGTCCCAGGGGATCTGACATGCTCTTGTCACGTCCATGGGCGCTGTATAAACATGAGTCACAGATATGCATGAAGGCAAAACACTCATACACATTAAAAAAAATAAAGCAAAATACATGCTCATTGAAAGAGCTGACACCACACAACGTGTCAGCAGTCACTAAGGAGAAGAGAGTCCTATCTGTCCTTGATTGAACCTGCCAGCTAACACCCACACCCCACATCGTATACCTTATAGATGTAAGCCCTACACAAACCTCCCCTAAACACACTATTCAAACCCAAGACACATATCCAAGCCACAAAACAGGACACCAACTCAATCTCAATATGCCATGGCTACCACCATTCCAGAGTACAACAGTGTAAACCCAGGGGTCCAGGGCTCACTCTTGAGAAACAAGAAATATTCTAAAAAGAAATCAGACTAATTTGAAATGAGCTAGCATGTGAAGCCATGCCCCTTAAGGTTCCAGGTGGCTAGCATGTAAAAGTCAGACGTTAATATAAGTGAGTGGACACATGGATGGGTAGATGAGCAAGGTGGGTATGTGGGTTGATGGATATATGGGTACGTAGGTAGGTAGGTGGGTGGCT